AATCCTTAAATATTCCATCAGGCATGATGGGTGTAATGCTTTAGTGGAAGATCTAATAAACCTGAGATTGTGAGGGATTTTTTTCACTAGGCTAAACCTAATTTTAGCAAACCTTTCCATTTTTCAGGCTTCAGATGCCTGCTGTTAAAAAAAAAAAAAAAAAAGCTTGTATGTAGGTCAGACTCCCACCAGTTTATGCTTTGATACTGCTATTTTGAAGCCATCTCTCTCTCGCTCTCTCGCTCTCACCTCCCTCTCTACTGAGGAAGGAAATACCTGAATTTTTTTTTAATGGAAAATACATACACAGACACACCCTTTATTTTGTTTGGTGAGGCCTGCTCCCATTCATTTTAGGTTCGCCTGGCCAGACTTTTTCATGTTTAGTAAGAATTAATAGAAATGCCTTCAGACATTGTCATCCATTTAAAAGTGATGAGACCTATATCAGACACCAGAAAAAGCACAAGGATGTTTATATTTCAAAATGACGGGTTGCTTTACAAGAAATTGATTTTTTGCTTCTTCCCGGTCTTCTTAAATTCTACCCCATTTCAAATTTGTTCCTTAGAAATTAGCTTTTCCAAGAAGAGAGATGCTCAACTTTAAGGCAAGGGTGGTGTAAAGGAAAAGAAAATGGGTCTCAGGGTCAGACAGACCTGGGTTTGGATCTCGGTTCAGTCTGTTGTTCCTGTGACTTTGGGCCAAATTACATAGCCTCTCTGAGACTTTCAGGGAGGTTAGGTAAGGTTTCCTACCCTTGAAACTCATACTGTCTTGTACTCATCCTGACAACCTGGAGGGCTCAATGAGATAACTGTCATTGCCTGGCTAATGGCAGGCCTGGACTCAAAGTAACCGTCTTGTCTCCTCCCTGTCTGTTCTCTAAATCCACTGCCCAAGCATACCAGCACTGAGAGTCATGTAGCCTGTGAGAGCAGTAACCTCTGGATGGCACAGGGACATTGCTCACTCTTAGTACTCCTTGCGTTCCTGAGAAATGTTTGTGCAAGGTCCCACAAGCAGAAGTAAACTATTTTTCCTCTAGGCCTTTCTTTTTGCTGCCAGCTCCCCCAAAGAGCCATTGTTCTCTCATGCCCTGAATACCCATATCCCAGTGCCTTTATGACCCTATTACAGGAAGATTGGAGAACTTTTTCAGAAGGCTTTAGAATTTATATCTAGAGAAAGGAAAGGTGTTCTTCAGCTGTTGGGCTTATAGCCTTGGAAAAACCTGAAGCTGCCCTATCCCTTGCTTGTTGTCATAAAGATATAGGGAAATAGGTAAATGGGCCACTGCCGCTGAGCAGGTAGCTTTGGAAACAGCACTGCTGGGCCTGACAGCGAGAACCTACAGGCTTATCCCAGTGCGGGTTGGATAGTTGTCACCTCATGGGTCTGTGTCGATCTGCCACTGATTCTCTTTGCCAGATTGTTTCTTGAATAATTTGTTTTTCTCCTGGAACATACACTCTGAGCTGCTGGTTTTGAGAATTGTTTCTGTCTGGAGCCAGGTCAGTTTAGTGCCAGCAGGGTTTGCATCACATAGTCTGCTGGGAGAGGGTTGGACCCCCTTCCTCCAGACCTTCATCAGCAGGGTGCGCTGGTTACAAGCACCATCCCTGGAGCCAGAGTACCCAAGTCAGGTCTGGGCTTCCCTGTTTACACACTTTATGACATTGAACAAGTTACTCAGTCTTTATGTCTTCTCCTTTCACAAACTTGATGACTTAAAAAACAGAAATTTATTCTCAGCATCCTAGGAGCTAGAAGTCCAATATCTACCAAAGCCATGCTCCCTCCAGGGACTCTAGGGGGTGAGTCTGTTCCTTGCCTCTTCCAGCTTCTAGTGGCTGGCAGCATTCCTTGGCTTGTGGCCACATCTCTCTTTGCTTCATCTTCACATCGCCTTCTCCTCTCTGTTTTCTCCTTTATGGGTCTCTTATAAGGACACTTGTCATTGGATTTAGGGCCCAAGATAATCCAGGATGATCTCCTCATTTCAAGAGCCTTAACTTAATCAAAGACCTTTTTTCCAGATATGGTTACATTTACAGGTCCCAGGTCTTAGAACGTATACATATCTGTTTGGGGACCACCATCCATCCTGCTGCAAAGTGCTAGAATGTGTGTTTGTTAAATTAAAAAATTATTTATTGCAGGAAGCAAAGCAGTCTCATAAGTGTGATGTAGTGAGGAAGAAAATATGGTGCCTGGAATTAAAGTACACACTTTACATTTTTTTTAAATGCTGGCTGTGATATTAAATCCTTTCTTATGAACTGTTTCATTTGAGCACAGAGTGGTATGGTAGAAAGAGAATTTGATTTAGAGTTAGAACACCTGGATCTGATTTCCCTTACAAGTTCTGTGGCCGTGAAGAAATCTCTTTTCTGAGCTTCTGTTTACTCCCTATAAAATAAGAATATTTGCTCTGCCTCTCATAAGCCTGTTGGAGGAGCCAGTGACATAAGGCATTATAACAAATAAATCATTTCCCTGATTTTACGGAAAGCCGTATGATGAAAGTAGGGCAGATATTTAGCTTTACTATCTATCTTCTGAGGAAACAGAGGCTTAGGGCATCCTAGATGACTTGCCCAAGAACACTGATCTGGGTTGGGATGAAGTGAAAGTGAGATCGCACTGTGTAGTTTCTAGTCTAGTTTATCTGTACGTTCCCTGTTGAGGATGACATTGAGTGGCTACTGACTGCTATAGCCATTGGTCAGTCGGGTTTGGGCAGCCCACTCTTTGCTCTAGACATCAAAGTACAAAACTCTCATACTGCTGAAAACAAGAAGTGATTGGGACTGAACAGTTGTGTATGCTGTCACTCATGTGAGCACACACCTGATATGCTCTCCCTCCTTTCTTTCTCCCTTACCCAGTTCTCATTCAGGCCTCTTTGTAAAGGCATGCTTCACTGCTCTACCGTCAGTTTTCTGGGGAGAGAGACTGAGAAGGGCTGGCAGAGGCCTCTTGTCCAGGTTGAACTTGGTAGAAGGAGGCAACCTGTACCTGTTATGTTACCAGTTTTGCTTCCCACGGTGGGACTTGAACCCACAATCGGAGGGGACCTGAGAAAGAGCCTAGGGCCGGTGGATCTTGAACCTACAATCGGCGGTTTCCTCCTCAGAGAGTCCTTTTCTTTTCGGTGTCGCGGATTTGGAACAAAACCAAAGCTGAGCGTTCAACGGCGCAAACTTTTATTCAATGGCCAAAGAATGGAGAAGTGGGAACTATGTTCACAAATCAACTTCTCAGCTCTTAGGGTGATTAAGCAGCTGTTATAAGGGGCCAAGGTACTGAAGGGGAGGAATATTCATAGTTCTTCTGGGAACCAGGCAGGCAGGCAGGCTTTTGGGGTTGAAGGGGACAAGGGTGCCACCTCTTTTCTTTCCTTATTGGTTATACCCTGCCATTGCCATGGCAGTTGTAAACTGTCGTGGTGCCGGTGGGTGTGTGGTGTAACATGGTAATGTATTACAGTGAGCATATAATGAGGTGCAGGGTCTATGTCAGCTCAAGTCAGACCACTGTGTTGCTTATATAAAAGAGCTTTAACCTTGATTTGTGCCCATTAAACTATTGTCCTTCGTTTGTAGCTCTTTAAAATCAAGTCCAGCAGCCAAACCACTGAGTTCCAGAACTAATAAGTATCCACCATCATATCTAAAGCAGGATTGGCAAATTACAACCCATGGGCCAAATCTGGCCCATCTCCTGTTTTTTTTTGGGCTGCAGGCTGAGAACGGTTTTACAGTTTAAATGATTGGAGGGAAAAACTCAAAAGAAGAAGAATGTTTATGTCACATGAAAATTACGTGAAACTCACTTTTCAGAGCCCATAAATAAAAATTTATTGGGATGCAGACACACCTATTTTTTATGTATCATCTATGCCTTCATGCTCCAAGAGCAAAGTTGAATAGTTGTGATAGAGACTATATAGCCTGCAAAGTCCAAATGTTTACTCTCTGGCTCTTTATAGAAAAAGTGTGCTAGAAGTTCTAAAGGCTCAGTGTGAAGCTGAATACAAGCGGTATTTACTGTTCTTGTGTCTAATGTCTTCTATCATTAATTTCAAAACAATAGGGAAAGATGAAGGAACTGTCCTTCTCCCCTGGCCCGGTCTCCCCGCCTCTGCCAGGTTCTCCACAGCCAGTGCTTTATGATGAAGGATAGAGAGAGAGATTTTTTGTGAATGGGACTTGGCGATTCCAATCAGAATCCCTTTTTAATGTTAATTTCACAGTAGTGACCAATACCCTTTCAAACACACCTTCCCACAAAGCCTGTGCGTGAAGCTCCATCTTGACTGAGCTGTGGTCCTTGGACTGTGCACTGACTTGCTGTTAAAGTCCTTGTCTCCATTCCCTGTGGTCTGGGCGTGGCATTTTGTGTCCTCAGGGAGATAATTGACAATCCACTGTTCACCTAACTAAACAGAAGGAATGCTTTGTTTTCTGATGTTTTTTTGTAATTGCTTCTTACAGCTACCTGCCTCTACCAGGGCTTAGGATAGTCATTCACTTCATAGACCTGCCCCAGTATTTCTCCTCTCCCCTCAAAGAAATTAAAAGCTGGACGTAGAGATTATTACAGATTATCGCTCTGTCAGTATTTCTTTCTTTTTCTTTCTTTTTTTTTGAGAAAGATTAGCCCTGAGCTAACTGCTGCCAATCCTCCTCTTTTTGCTGAGGAAGACTGGCCCTGAGCTAACATCCATGCCCATCTTCCTCTACTTTATATGTGGGATGCCTATCACAGCATGGCTTGACAAGCAGTGCCATGTCTGCAGCCGGGATCCGAACCGGCGAACCCCGGGCTGCCGAAGCGGGACGTGCGCACTTAACCACTGTGCCACCAGGCCAGCCCGCTTTGTCAGTATTTCAGATCCTTTGGCGGATTAGGTATTTGTGTTTATCAGTCTTGCGCGGTGAGTATCCCTTTCTTCCTAGTACACTTACCTTAGTACTTTCAATCTCCCTCCACAGGTCAGATACCAGGCCCAGGTTCCATGATGCCTGGGCAGCCCATGCCAGGCCGAATGATTCCCACTGTTGCGGCCAACATCCACCCCCCTGGGAGTGGCCCTACCCCTCCTGGTATGCCTCCAATGCCAGGAAACATCTTAGGACCCCGGGTACCCCTCACGGCACCTAATGGCATGTGTAAGTAGCACAGTGCAGGGGTGCATCACCCCAGGGTTTCTCTGGGAGGGCTGTAGACAAGGGATGAAGGCTTTGTTCTCTGTTTTGGTCTGGCAGGTCCACAGACAATGTGATCTGTGACAGTGTGTTTCAGATCCGTTTTTGGTCCGTGCTTTTCAGCACCCTGATGAACAGGCAAAGAGCTGATGAGTGCAAAGTGCTTCTAGTCAATTGGGCTTGTGTGCCATAGCCATCACGGCATGCATGCTTGACACCAAGGTCTGTGGGGAGGCCAAAAAGACATTCCTCTCCCACTCCCATTTAAGCCTGTCTAGTTTGAGTCTTGGGAGACATACAGAGCTACTGGTTGTTATTTTCCCTACAGGAGCCTTTTGTGGATACAGGGTTCATAAGTAGTGGCTATAAAGAAAACAACAGTTTAGGGCAGGAATAACAAATAAGTTTCTTGTAGCCACTCTGATATATTGGTAGTGGCTGCGTAGACTAAGGAACGACTGTTCGGGAGCTGTGTTGAGAAGGAATATGAGGTCCCAGCAGGTTCAGTGGAGAAGGCACAAGTGCTGCTGAGCAATGTCTGTCTGATGGTGTGTGCAAAGCAGGGTCATTTCTCCCATAGAGCCCTTGCTCTGCTCCAACCCTGGCCTCCAGAAGATTGCTTCAGAGGCTCTGGCCTGCCCTTTACTCCTGTAGACTTTCTCAGTGAGAACAGTCCCAAAATGCAGCTGATAGTGGCCAGGTACCCGAGCCACATCTGTGATCTCAGGTTCATTTATAAGTTCATGTATGTGCCAAGGAGTTAGCTCCTGTTCACAATACAGAGAGTAAGGACACTTGAGAATTCCTAGCGTCCAGGAGCTGTAGTTGGGAACATAAGGAATGAACAAGTGGACAGTAGTATAGGATTTACCAAAATTAGATGAGACTGTGAAGTGCCTTGAGTGCACTGTAGTACTGTAGGAGACTTCCCAGGCCCTGGAGGCAGGCTGCATGGACAAAGGCGCTTCTCATTTGTCTCTAGAGCCCTTGGGGCTAGAACAGAGTAGGTGTACAGAAGAAAGACAGCAGTTTAGCTGGGTGTATAGGATCACGACAATAGAAAAAAATGATTTCCCTTCAGCCAGTGGTCAGAGGTTGTAGTACAGCAGGTACCTCTTTTCCGTGGCAAGAAAATGCTTGCCTTGCCATCTTACAGGCCATATACAAATGTGCCAGCCTACCAAGAGAGAGGACCAGTTTGCCATCCCCATTGCAGAAGCAGTTTCATTGGTCTTTACCACTCTCATACCCTGCTAATCACCCATGGTGTGTGACTGCAGGATTCCATCCTAAAGGACCTTCAGTGGAGCATCTTGAGAATGTGGAGGGTTTTGGGTGCTCCCCTCCCCTTCCTGCACAAATGAGTGTTTCAGGGATTCTGAGGGATTCTGATTTGGCTCCAGGGTACAAGGCAGGCCTCACTGGGGAGTTGTTTTCCTTCTACAGGCCTTAGTTTCCTCCACTAAAAGATGACACAAGGAATTAGATCACTGGGCTTCAAAATGCTTTGAGGAGCCTTACCAGTTTGGTGGAAACCTCCTAGGGGGAAGCTGGGTGAATTGACTTGTAAGCAAGACTACACTTTAATTATTTGTTTCGTATGTTTTCATTTCTGGCAAAATCTAGAGGTTTAAAAAACCCTGGATTAAATGATCTCTAGGGTTCCTTTGTACACTAAAGCAGCTAAAGTTGAAATAGGAAGGGGCCCCAGACACTCATACTAATTGTTCCCTTCAGGATCTGACCTAGTTTTGGCCAAAAATCCAAGGACTGCAATTCAGGAGCTGTGGGGCCTCCCAGGACTGTCCAACTTGTCAGCAGCTGCCTCCAGTGAAGCTCTCTGGTCCTGGTGGAGTCAGTTAAATCAGCAAGAAGTTATTGATAATCTATTTCTTGTCCAGCTAGGCTAGATACTGTGAGAGAAACAAAGAAGACACAGAACTTGCCCAGGAAGGAGCTTATCATTTAACTAAAGAAATAAAATTAGAACCATTAAAATACAATAAAACCAAAATATAAGTTCTGAAAAAGTCTGGAGTGATTCTTGGAAGGGTGGGACAGATTCAGACACCTCCCACTCCTGCACCCACTTGGGTTAGTGGAAACAACATGAGTGAGCAGTGACCCAGAGGTTCACATGCACGTGACCCGCATAGACCACAGCGGCAGCAATGCCTCACAGGCCTCATTGGTTACCTGCCATAAAGAAAATTACTTCCTATGTCATTTTTCTCTGGTTGGGCTCTTTCCCAAGCCCTTTGTGTTTCCAGCAATGACGAGTTACTCTCGAATGTGTTTGCAGATCCCCCTCCGCCGCAGCAGCAGCAGCCACCACCACCACCTGCAGATGGAGTCCCTCCACCTCCTGCTCCAGGCCCACCAGCCTCAGCTGCTCCCTAGCCTGGAAGATGCAGGGAACGTCCACACCCAGCACCACCAGCTGGAGTAGGGATGACAAGACTTGTGTTCCTCAGCTTCCTTGGATTTCTTTCAGGACTTTTCTTCTCATAGCCCCAAGCTCACATCCCTTATTTCCCCATTTCTCTTGCCACCCCTCTCCATGCTCTGACTCCTCTTGTGTTAGGTCCTCAGCCAACACTCAAGGGGTAGCCTGTGGTGACTGTGCCCTGGTCATCCTAAAAATAACCTGCGTCTCCCCTGTCCTGGTGTGGGGTATACTGACAGTTTATCTGCAGGTCCTGTCAACATTAGTATCCTATGTCTTTATCATTTTTGCTCTCCTGCAGTTTTTTGCTTTGTCTTATGCTTCTATGGAAAATGCTTTATAATCATTATCCTTTTTTTTTTTTTTGTCATTATTGCTTTAAAGGAGAACTTCCTAAGTTAATAGGAACCAAAAAATGGTGATGAGCAGAGGGGATAGCCAGAGGGGACAAACCTTAAGGCATTATAAGTGACCTTATTTCTGCTTATCTGAGCTAAGAATGGTGCTGATGGTGAAGTTCCATGAGATATTTGCCACACATAGACGCACCAAAATTAAAAGAAATGGGGAAAGGGACCCCATTGATTTTTATCCCTAGTGAGGACTGTGAAGGCTTCCACCCACCTGGCAGAACATCCCCCTTTAGTACATGGTAGGGAGAGCACAGGCGCCAGAACAGATCTCCTTCCCCAGGCCCACTGGTTCTGGTTTTCTATGCAGATAGTTTGTTGGAGTGGGGGTGGGTATTTTGTTTTCTGAGAGCAGTGTGAGCTTTGAGGGCTGGGATTTTGGGAGGCATTCCTAAGTTCCCTAGACTAGCCAGGAAAGTTTTAGGAGTCTGTGGCAATGGCCACCCAATGAATCTAGCCCACTATTCACTGCTTTGTATGCATTTTTTTCCTCCCTCTTTAAAAACCTTTAAAAAGAAAAAAAAAGTAAGTAGATAGTGCTAATAAACATTTTAGCTCATGGAACTTGGTTAGAATGGCTGGGGGTACACGTCCCCAAACTACCTCTTGCAGTAGCCAGGGTGAGTGGAACTTAGTGAAGCGGTACTTTAGGTTTGGGCTGGGATTGGAGAAGTGGGGTAGGATCAACAGCCTCTCTTACCTTCTCCCTTCCCTTTCTGAGATCCCACATTCCATCCATCACAGGGTTGTCAAGGAGATGCTGGGGGTACCAAGGAACTCACTGGGCAATCAGAGCATCAAGCTTTGAGGGTTAGGGTGCTTGGGCTGGGAGAGTAGAATGCCATTCCAGAGGAAGAGCCACAAAAATGCCTTAATTTGAGCCCATTTCTACCCCTGCTGATGAGTGACTTGAGAATTCTTGTTTTTTTCCTGTCCTTTTTCCCTCCCCTCTGTCCTTCCATGGGTGGGGAAAGGGTGTTTTTGATAGAGCTTGATTTCCAAAGCACCAGGCCTCTTCACTTCACATTCTTAAGTGGCTGTTTCATTATTTAGAATGCAAAGTGGAACATCTTTTTCTATATATTCTATAAAGCTTTACATATGAGAGGGTGTAGGGAGGTGTTTCTAAAACACCTTACAACTTTTTTTCTTAATATCAGAAAGCAAAAAAAACCCACAATTTAGATTTGCCTTTCAGAACCCTCAGGTGTTACCTCTAACCAGGTGGTCCTGGTCACCATCAGAGTACTGGAACCAAGGAGACCTTGTTCCTTTTGTCTGTTTGTTCTGGACTCTCGGAGTGGAAATGAGCTTGTTCCTACTGGAGTTTAGTTCCAATGCATTTGCCTCCAGAAAGACCCCAGTGCCTCTTGACAATGGCCAGGGTTTTCCGTGTTTCCCACCAGTCTTTCCCAAAGGAAACTCATTCCAAATACTTACCTTTTCCACTGAGGTCTTAGAAGGAAAATGGAATTCTGGTTCATACTGTGGTCCCTTGTAACCTCAGGTCTTTAATGTGATCACTTTCAAATTTAAAAGATCCAGGTGGAAATATTTTTACTATGCTGGTAATACTTCTACAGAATACCTGAATTCTTAACACTGTTATGTTTCAGTATAAGTGGTGACTTTTTCTTTTCATGTCTTTGATCTGGTTTTGTCCCTGTAATACAGCCGACCCAATTTTGTGAGGGGGAATAATATGTGGTTTTTGTACAAACATGTTTCTCTGTGTGTTGTTATTTGGAAAAATGAAGGGAGGGAGTTTCGGGAGATTGGAGGAAATTGATCAAGAAAGCCTAATCTCCCCTCTTATTCAGTGAATAAATGGAACATCGTTTCTGGATTCTAATCCTATTCTCTGCATTCATACACCAGTTTCTTCATATGTCCTATGAAAAGCCTAAATATTCAGCCCCACCTGATCCTGGTCATTACTTAAAGTTCAGTGACTCCGGGCTTCCTAACCCAGCTCTCCACCTTCATTGTGCTTAAGGAACATACAGTTGAATGTGCCTTGCCCACTGTTTATTTCCATGCTCAAAATGAAGAAAGATGAGGGGCTGGCCCCGTGGCCGAGTGGTTAAGTTCGTGCGCTCCGCTGCAGGCGGCCCAGTGTTTCGTTGGTTCGAATCCTGGGCGCGGACATGGCACTGCTCATCAGACCACGCTGAGGCAGCGTCCCACATGCCACAACTAGAAGAACCCACAACGAAGAATACACAACTATGTACCGGGGGGCTTTGGGGAGAAAAAGGAAAAAATAAAATCTTTAAAAAAAAAAAAAATGAAGAAAGATGAGTGGAAGTTCTCCAGGAAGAGTGAGCTAGAGAATGTTAGGATGCAGTTTCAACAGCCTCAAGTTGGAGGCACGTGATTCCATGGATAGCCTTTGGAGCACCACAGATGCAAACCCTGTGCAGAAAACAGAAGCCATTGCCTTCCAGATGCTTATGAACCCAGTGAAGCAAAAGAAGCCGATTCTGTGTCTGCCAGGAGGTGAACACTCAGCTCCTCAAGGAGCTCATCCCAGACCGGTTGGGCTTTGCTTTCTGACCCGTTGTAACTCTTCCCTCCAGTGAAGAGTGCTGGAGGCAGCTGGGTCTCACAAGATTCCTGTGCTTCCCTAAGGGTGATGAGAGAAGTTAATCCTGAAGACTGGTTTATAAACTTGAGTGTGGATTCTTTTTAGAGCATCACAGGTCATGTTCAATCAACCAGTCTTCCACAGGTTTCTCAGATCCTTACTGTGGAGTAATTCCGCCAGATGCACTTAAGAACAGCAGTTTTCCAGCTTCAGTGCAGATCAGGATCACTTGCAGGATTGTTAATATACAAGCTGTTGGGCCCTACCTCATAGCTTCTGATTCAGTAGGTCTGGGGTGAGTTCTGAAATTTTGTATTTTTAACAGGTTCCCAGGGGATCCTGATGCATCTGGTCAAGGGACCATCTTTTGAGAACCACTCTTTAAGAAGGTTGTATGGTATGGGGCTGGCTGGCGCATAGTGGTTAGGTTTGGTGCACTCCACTTTGGCAGCCCAGATTTGCAGGTTCAGATCCTGGGTGTGGACCTATACCACTGACACGCCCTGCTGTGGCAGTGACCTACATACAAAATAGAGGAGGATTGGCACAGGTGTTAGCTCAGGGCTAGTCTTCCTCAAGCAAAAAAAAAAGGAAAATTGGCAGCTGATGTTAGATCAGGGTGAATCTTCCTCAGCAAAAAAAAAAAAAATTGTGTATTAGAGCAAGATCTGTACAGTTCCTGACAGTTCATTTTATGTGCCTGTTAGTCCAGTAAACATTTGAGGGCCTAGTGTGTGCCAGGCATTTGACCCTGCATGCAGTGAAGTCAGTTATGAATAAGGTAGGCATGGCCCCTGTGCTCCAGGCCATTTACATTTTTGTGGGGTAGGGAATACCAAAACTTAAATAGTTAATATTATTTTAGATAGTGCCAAGTGTTCATGAAGAAAAAGAAGCAGTGTAGTAAGAGTTTTCTAGGGAATAATTTATACCACCTGTGAATGGGATGTTCTGTGATTTTTGTCCTGTGGGGTGTGGTAACCTGAGGGTTGACATTCATTCCAGGAAACCTCCATCTGAATAATCAGAACACCCTTTCATCTGGGTATGCAATGCCAACCCCTGAGATTTCTTTCTGCAAACCTCTCTGCCTGTGACTTTTATTATAAAGCCCCTGCTTCCTACAGTTCCAAGAGCGTAGCTGTTTTCAGTTGCTTCTGCTGAAGGAAGACTTCCTGGGAACATTGTGAAAGCACCTTGATCCCCTGTTAATGGATTATCTCCATTTAAGGAAGTCATCTTTCAGAATGGGATGGAAAGGTGTATTCTTGAAGGAAGTGCTGCCTCAATGTTGGATCTCCTTGTGAACAGCTCCCGTGGACTTCATTTCCCTGTGTCTTGCCTTTAGGCCTGCCATCACAATTAAGAAGCACTTTTGATCCTGAACTCCTTGAAACAGAGCTGAGACAGGACTGCCATACCCAAAGGGTGACTGAGGGAGGGGGACAGAGAATTCTATGAATCAGCCTAAACAGAGGTTCTGAAACCAATAGTAGCCAGCTCACTCTAAGACTACCCAGCACTGTTTCAACTCTCATGGGAACCCAGGGGGCAAGAGACTTGTCTGGTCCCCTCCTGCTCTGGCCTGTCTTGTAGAACTGAAGCCATCTTTACTCCCTACTGTCCCCAGAGGTCTTTCCAGGCCCCTCCAAAGCCATGGAGAGCAGTCAAGTGAGTGATTTCTGGTAGCTACCTCACCACCACCTGCCATACAGTACATCCTTTGCAAGTCTCAGCAAAATAGCCATGCCTTAATACAGTACAGTGGCCACCACCTTCAGACAACAGACAAGAAAGAAAATGCCTCCCACTCTAGTTCTAAGGCAGTCCGGTATCTAAGGTGCCCTCACTACCAGATGGTCTAGGAAGGGTTTAGGAGGCAGCAGGGCGCTTGGTTGGTAATAAACCTCTTTGCACAGGTTGATTTCTGTGGCTAGTTTGGCCCTAACACTGACATCTCCCAAGGCCATGCAAACTGATTGTGGCATTCCTTGTTCCAGTCTGCTTATTCTGCAGTAGCTACAGGATGAGAGCATATGTGCAATTGAGAATCCAGAGTTCCCTGCAGCAAGGTAGTCAGTGCAAAGAACTTAGGCCCCTGACCCTCGGGTCTTCCCTTCTTCCTGGTAATGGTGCAACAACGTCCAGTCCCAGCAGCCCATCACCAAAACCTGTCACAGCTGACTGCCCTGCAGCTCTGAACCGGGTGTCTCTACCTAGCACACTGCCAGGAGAGAGGCCATACCAGATGTCCATTTTTTACTCTGATCTAGGATGTCAGTCTGGACTTAACTGCCGTGTTGTGCCCTGTTAAGAGATCAAAGCATCAACTCTTAAGTGCCCAGGTGGAAGCGGGTGGTGCTGCGGGGGAGAAGCAGGGCTTCCATTTGCCAAATGAGGCCCTACCTCTGCATCTTGACTCCTTCTGAAATTAAGAAGCAAGAATGAAAAGCCTCCATACTAAAATGAAAACATTTGAAATTAGGATCTTAGTTCAAGTCCTGGCCTTACCACTTCATTAGCATGAACTTGGACAAAGTTGCTTATTCTTAGTGTCATTTTGCAAATATATAAAATGACTGGTAAGGTATTCATACTATGGTTGTGAAGAATAAGACAGAGCACTAGGAAAACTAAAAACTCAGAAATGTTAGTGGTTACTCTTGAGGACTTAAAGGCAGAAATCGTGCTGTTTTCCTGTCCAGACTGAAATATGCCCCCAGCCATGGCAACTGGAGCAGCTCCCGCCCTGGATAGGAGCCCCTTGGTGAAGCCAGGGGCTTTCTATGTACAGAGAGGCGGGGTGTAGCCATGGCAATGGGCCCTGTGCCTGCCTTGGTACTGGAGGCAGGTTGCCAAACCCAATAGGAACCTCAGAGGCATGCAGAAGCTGTTGCTTCACAAAGCATCCCTGATGCCCAAACGCACAAGACTTGAATGTGGGGACATGAAATGTAAGCTCTAGATAGAGGTCAATTTCCCTTTCTTTCACTCTCCAATTCCTACATTTTATCTCTCCTCTTGTTTAGCCTACCCTGGCCCTTGTGCCCAGAAAAAAATATTGCATTTATTTGACACTCTATGGTTACAACTTTTCACATATATGAGACTTGGGTTACTGACTCTTCCCAAGGTCACACAGACCCAGTGCTGAATCCTGCTCTTTCCATGATATTCCACTGCCTGGATTAGCTTCTCCCATGCATCTTGTGAAGATTTTGCCCAGCCAGGTGTTCTGTGCCCAGTTCTGAAACTGCTGGTGAGATCTGCTAGGGACGCTTGGAATGAAACTGAATGGCAACAGTTGATTTAAAATCCCAAAATGAAAAAAGTGTTAACAGAATTTGTCTCCAGGGAAGGGAAGAAGGTGGTTGAGGAACAGATATTAAGGAAGGAGACATTTCATATTTTATACCATATGCTTGTTTTACTTAATTCAGAAATTGAATTTAAAGGAATATATTTAAATATTTAACAAAATATATTAAAATGAGAAACAAACTGGAGTAGGTAGAGTTTTACAAAAGGGTGAGAGAAGGGCCAGCATCCAGACCGATCTTGTGAAAAATGGTAGTGGTTGTCACACCCCAGGCATCAAGGGACCCATCCATGAGGCCTCCTTCCCACACAGACCAGCGTCAGGAAGGAGACGGTAGGCATGTCCATCAAGATCCTCCACTCTGACACCTACCACTCAAGAGTCAAGGAGACACAGCAGATAAACACCAAGAGATTTGTATACAAGGCAAAAAAAAAGGAGATACAGAGATAGCCACAGACAAGGGAAGCAGAGATGGAGTTGGAGAGTGCATTGGTGCCTCTATGGGCAAGAGGCAGTGCAAAGCCCTGCCTGGCCCTCTGCTCAGAAAAGGTTGTATTTCAAACTGGTATTTACTATCCCCAGAGGCAGCATGAAGCCATGGAAAGAGCCTCAGAAAATCAGCCCCTTTGCAGGGAGCTCCAGACCCAGTTCTGGGGTGGGAGTAAATGGTTGCCGTTCATTCATTTATGCTTTCCACAGGCCTTCAGGAGCCTCCCTCTGTGCCTGGTGCTGTGCAGTCAAGTGCCTTGCAGTTCAATGGGGAATTACTGTAGATAGACAATGAGATCAGGACATAAGTGTCTAACTGCTTGGGGCAGGCTGAGAAGGCTTCTCAGAGGGGAAGGTGATAGGAACTGAGCTTTCTGGGTTAAGGAGTTTACCAGGCAGACCTGGAGGGGAGGGAACCACCAGGCTGAGCAAACAGATTGCAGCAGTACTTCCAGTGAGAGAAACAAGCTTTGAAGCAAGGCAACCCCATCCAGAGACACCCGCTAGAGAGATTAGGAGATAAAACCTCCATCCTGGTCACCTCTGTGGTTCCCTCGGGACAGAAATGAGAGTGTCCCTCAAGTATCAGAACTGCCCCATCTCCTGGGGCAGGAGGGATCCTGGATGTCATCATTTGAGTCAATAACAGATCAGGAGGCAGAAGGTCGGTTTAGGGGGATGGACTAGGTAGCTAGTCCGAGACTCCGCCTCCCCACCAAGCAGGGCTCCAGGGATGAGTGGTCCTGGGCTGCACAGTGAGCTGGGAACGGAGCCCGCAGACTGCTATAATGCCTCGCCTAGCGTCCGCGATCTAGACTGCTTGGGTTTACCCAGGAATTTGAGCTTTGGTGGCCTGGGACACACGGGGGCGATGTATCCGGTGAGGGAGGAAGGAACCAGGATTAAAAGCCGCTCCCCAGGCTGCCCCGAGGAGGCGAGAAGGAAGGCAGGGTAGCCACAACCCCAGGAAGGTCTTGCCCCCTGCCCCCGGGATGAGTTCTGGCGGGCCTGGCTCTCCAAGGTCTAAGCTTTGTTGCGGACGGATTAGGTCTGATCCGATTAGAGCCTGGGCCGTCGGCTTCGCCCCCTTGCCTAGCCCTGCCACCTCCCGCCCCGCCCTGGTGGGGATCCGGAGACCTCCCCGAGACCCTTCCTCGCTCGGAACACCGGGTTGGCACAGAACTCCGAGAGGCTCAGCGCGCCCCGGGTTCGGCTCATTGCCAAAGCGCGGGCTCGGGCTTCCGCCCCCTGCGGCTCTTCTGAGCCCCGCCCCAAGCCTGCCGGTGTCTGCGCTCCCGCCTCCGTGCTCGCCGCGTGGCGAGCGGGTTCCTCGCGGGTAGGGGACCCGTGCCAGCCCTCCACGGGGAGGGCGGGGCCGCGGCCCCGCCCCGCAGGTCTCCCGCCCGTGCACCTGTCCGCTAACGCCACGCGCGGCGCTGTGGCCTGCCTCCGCGCGACTCCTCGTCCGTTTGTCTCCGCGTCTCGAGCCGGGGGTCTGTCTGTCCCCCCGGCAGGCTGACTGAGCAGGGCCGGCGTCAGAGCTACGTGCGGCGGGGCGGGCGCGGCGGGCGGGGTGGGGGCGGTGCTGAGCGCGGCAGCGGCGGCGCGGGAGGCGGGGAGGCGCCGCGCGCCGGGGACAGCGGCGGACGGCGGCGGCGGCATGCGGCTTCTCGCGCTGCCCATCGTGGGCTGAGACGGCCGCAGCACGGGCGGGAGGCGCGGTGGCCGGCGAGCCGAGGGCGCAGCCAGCCGGGCAGACCGCGGACAGCGGTCAGGGCGCCGCGCCATGGGCCGAGCCGAGGGCGGGGACCCGGGTCGGGGGCCGCCGCCGCTGCTGCTGCTTCTGGGGGCCACGCTGGTCCTCGCCGCCGGGGCCGCGCCGGGTAGGTACAGACTGCAACCGTGACCCCAGCAGCCCTCGCGTCCCGCCCTGGGCCGGTGTCCCGCTGGCTTCGGGTGCAGGCGGGGTCCGCGAGCTGTGGCAAGGGGGCGGGGCAGCGCCTTGCCTGCGACCTGGGCGGGGGAAGGGGCGCGCGACCAGGAGAGGGACTGGGGGGCGGACGAATGGTGGGGGAGGCCCCGACCAGGATGTGCGGACCGAGAGACTGGCTGGGGAAGGGGCCTTGGTGGGCGGGGCCTGAGGGTGAGACTTCGGGGCGGGACCTGGAGGTGATGGGGGCAAGAGGATGGGAGTTCAGGGCGGAGCTTCGGGAGGGGTGGGGCCCTACGGGTGCGACTTCGGGGCGGGGCTTGGAGGTGGTGTGGAGCCCTGACGGTAAGACTTCTGTCAGCGCCCGAGTTGGAGGCCGCTGTGGCCAGACTGCGGGTTGTGTCGGGGCGGGGCCTGACGCTCGAGAGGCGGGGCCTGAGCGGGGAAACGTCGAGCTGGGTGTATTCCCAGGTTTGGGGGGCGGGCTCGGGGCGGGGCTCAAAGATGGGGCGTGGCCTCGGGAAACCTTGAAGCTGCGGCTTAAGGTTGGCCCCGGTCTGGGAGAGGGAGCCGGCCGGGCGAGGCCTAAGGCCTACCCCGCGCGCTGCCCTGACGCCCCGCCCCTCTCCCTCCGGTCCACAGCGCGTGAGGCGGGTAGTGCCGTCGAGGCCGACGAGCGGGTGAAGAGCGTCCTGGTGTGGGAGCCGAGTGCCAACAGCACGCGGGAGAAGGCCGGCCAGCCCACAGCTGGGGAAGACGAGACTTCGTGGACCGCGGCCGGCGGCGAGCAGGCAGTGGTGGGTCCTGGGGTCGGGCCAGAGGAGGTGCTGGAGGCGTCGGCGGCGGTGACGGGCACCGCCTGGCTGGAGGCTGACAGCCCAGGCCTGGGCGGAGTGACCGCAGAGGCGGGCAGCGGAGACACCCAGGCCCTTCCAGCAACCCTCCCGGCTCCCGACAAGGCCCTCGGGCAGTCGTCGGTGCCCCCCACAACCTCCGAGGCTACAGAGACCAGTGGACCACCCTCCTCCACCCCCGCCGACAAGCTGAGCCCAGGCCCTGAACTCCCCAAGGAGAGCCCCTTGGAGGTTTGGCTGAACCTGGGAGGCAGCACACCTGATCCTCATGGGCCAGAGCCCACGTTTCCCTTTCAGGGCACACTGGAGCCCCAGTCAGCATCAGATATAATTGACATCGACTACTTCGAAGGATTGAATGGTGAGGGCCGAGGCGCCGACCTGGGGAGCTTCCCGGGGTCACCAGGAACCTCAGAGCACCACCCGGATAATGGGGGAGAGACCCCTTCCTGGAGCCTGCTTGACTTGTACGATGACTTCACCCCCTTTGATGAATCTGATTTCTACCCTACCACATCTTTCTATGATGACTTAGATGAAGAGGAGGAGGAAGAGGAGGAGGACAAGGATGCAGCAGGAGGTGGAGACCTGGTAGATGAAAATGACCTTCTAGTGCCCACTGAGAAGCCTGTTCTGGGGCCAGGGACAGGCCAGCCCACCAGTCGGTGGCATGCTGTCCCTCCACAGCATACTCTGGGAATGGTCCCTGGCAGCAGCATCGCCCTCAGGCCCCGCCCAGGAGAGCCAGGCAGAGACCTGGCCACAAGTGAGAATGGCACTGAGTGCCGCAGTGGCTTTGTGCGGCATAATGGCTCGTGCCGGTCAGTGTGCGACCTCTTCCCAAGTTACTGTCACAATGGCGGCCAGTGCTACCTGGTGGAGAACATAGGGGCCTTCTGCAGGTAAGGGTTTAGCAGGCAGGTGCACAGGGGCTTGTAACAGAACTCCTGAAGAGTGTATGTGAGGCAGACTCAGCAAAGGAGGGAATGTGACAAAGGAGGGAGTTAACAACTTCCAAGAGGTTGTGCATTCACAGGATTCCTCCATCAAGAGATGTTCACTCAAGTATCTTCTACAGAATTACTTCCTAGTGTACTTCCTGTGGTCTCGTCACTAGGAGAGGTTCCTCAGAAATAATATTTTCTATTTCCTCTAAGTGTTGTGTCCTTTCCCAAAGCACTAAACTATAAAGGCGAAATGAAGGACTTCTCTAAGGGTTTTGGAAAGAAGCCTTTGCTGGCTTTGTGGGGTCACTGTTGGAGAGTTCTGGCTATACTAGCAAAAAGAGTGGGCCCATAAACCTACTCTGGGGGAAAGATAGCTGCTGAACACTCCCTCTGAGCCATATGTGTGGCAGGAGGAGAGCCCCATCTCCCTGTTGGCTATATGGGGCGGGGAGGGCATGTCAAGTCAGAGGGAGGACCTTCTCATTGGGAACTCAGAGAGCAGCCACCCAAATAGATCGAATCAAGCAGAGTCTTTCCTGGTGTAGCAGATGTGGTGGGGTTTCTTAACTTTGGGTAGTGGCATTTTCCCTTCTGCCTTGATGTTTGTCTTCCTTGGGATACCCAGCCCAGAATGTTTTTAAAGACCCAGAGAGTATAGTGACCCTAGGGACATGGTCTGAAGCCACCATCCCCTGCCTCATCAGTAATTACCCCGTACACCTGCCTTCATGCTGAGGTCATTAACATGCTGGAGGGCTCATCAGCTTATTCTGGAAGAATCACAAGTCAGGGGTCATCTGGGTGGTTTGCTTGTCTCCATCCTTTACAGGCCCCAGAAGTGGAGTAGAGCCCTCAGATGCCTCTGGGACTTGTTTCCATTGGTCCTAGGAGGAGCATTTCTGTAATCTGGGTGTCTCCTTTTTGAGTCTTATTCCCAATGTTTATTTCCTTGGTCTTTTGGATGTATGTGAAGAATTCAGGTTCTGTAGGTTTTGATGTCCTAATAGAAGAATAACATACAGAAAGCATGAATGTTGTGCCTTTGGCATTAAAGCTTGAGTTCCTTCCTGTGAAGTTCTTTTCTATGAATTATTGTGACACTAGAGTCACTCATATAGGATGTGTTCACACAGTTCTGGTTGGAGTTGTCTAGCCATTGCCAAAAGCAGAAACTGTGATCAAGAAATTATGGCAACAAGACCTTGCCAGTTGGTTAAGGGCTACCACAACTTTGGGAAAACCGTGTGATTTTACTCCTCAAACTTTAATTGAGGAGACTATAGTGATTGTTTTAGCCTGGGAGCTATGGAATGTCTGTGCAAAATCATAATCTTTCATCCTATTGGAGATTTGAGTTTTCACCTTCAAAGTAAGCTCCCCGTGAGAGTATGAAATTTGGAGCTCTTGCTGCCTCTGGAGAGCTAGGAAAGTTCCCAGAACCTTCTGGAGCTCTCAGGGGATTCCCAAGTGGAGGAGTAAGCTTGTCCTCACTAAACTGCCTGGCTGTGCTGACCGTAGGCCTGCCGATAGGTCACTGCGTCAGAAGGGCTTCTCTACAAGTCCACTCAGTTCCCCTTGCTCACTGTCCATCCCAGGATCGCACTTGGGCCTCCCTACCGGAGATTCCTCCTCTAGCTGTGTACACTCAGGCCTGGCAGTGGCTCGAAAACTGTTTTGCATTCCACTCACAGGAGACTGCTGAGCCCTTAGTTGCAGACTGCAGTGTGCCTTTGTCTCTGTCACCATGACCCACTGCAGAGAAATGATCAGAGCTGTGGCAGAACTTCCCTAGAACAGTGGGCTAGAGGGATCTGCTTTTCAGCATCCTCACACAGATAGCCTTCCCATGACTGCAGAGGGTCAGCTGGAGAAGAAAGAAGAATTTCCTGTTAGCCATGTCTCCCCACCCTAGTAGCCAATTCTCCGATGCATAATTTCCCTATTTCTGGACCCCTTTCTCTTGTCTGTCATTCACCCTGAGGTTCATGTCCTCCCTCCTTTGCCTGCCTCTGTATCCTTCCACATCTTTCCTCTTTGAGGCAGCCTGGTTCCCATGGAAACAGCAATGTCATTGGAAGAGCTGGAGCCTGGGAATGTCCCCAAGGGCAGGAGAAAGTCACTCAACAAAAAGACTAAAACCCACCCAGAGGGTTGATTCTCACTGTGCTTGCATGACGGTTCTCATGGTAATAGGACAGGAAGCTATAGGGGCTGCAGAGATAGGAGGAGAATATACACCCATCTTTGTGCTTGTCCTTGTCTGTTGCTTCTTTATTTTTCAGTGTCTGGTTAGCCACGTGAACTAGATGGGACTGCAAAGCAACAAGATAGGCTTTTATGTATAGTGCGGGTCCTAATACTTTATAGTCAAAGCTCCTATTCATCTTGTTTTTCATCTGTCTTTCACCTAGAGCCCAGGGCAGGGGGGCCTGAGAGAATCCTCTGATTGTCCTCACTGAGGCTTCCAGGTGGAAAACCAGGGTTCCCTTCCCTCCTCAGTCACCTAACAGTTATGTGAATGACCAGTGCTCTCAGTTTCTCAGTGCTCTGGTTACCTCATTTACATCATGGACCTCAGAGCTGCCCGGCCTACTTCATAGAGTGGTTATAAAGATGGAGCAAGAATATGAAGGTCTGCACAGATTAGGGGCATCACAATTCCTCTAGACAGTTGTAGGAGCAGGCTATTGAGGTAAGTACTGGGGTCAGGGGCCAGGCCCTTGCCGTGGCCATGGCTGCCTGCCCATCACCTAAGTCTCATGCTGTTGCTGCTGCAGGTGCAACACACAGGACTACATCTGGCACAAGGGGATGCGCTGCGAGTCCATCATCACCGATTTCCAGGTGATGTGTGTTGCCGTTGGCTCAGCCGCCCTCGTCCTGCTCCTGCTCTTCATGATGACAGTGTTCTTCGCCAAGAAGCTCTATCTGCTCAAGACGGAGAATACTAAGCTGCGTAGGACCAAGTGAGTCTGTGTCAGCCAGCCCCATCCTGACCCCTCCATCTGTGCCCCTCCATCTGACCCAGGGACATTGTCTTGAGGGTTTCTGGCACCTGCTGTCCATCCCTAGTTGTGTTTTTCACACCAAAGATTCACCCAAGCTTATCCATTCCTATACAGATGGTGCTGGAATTGCAGCAGAGGGTAAGCCCCTCTGGCACCCTGCAGCTATCCAGCACCATTTCCAACTCCCTCTACCCCAGGATAGCGGGTGCTTAAAGAAAAGGCAAGCAGCATATAACAACTCTTGGCTCTTACTCGGTCCCCAAGTAAGTTACTGTGCTCAGTCCCTCACCCCCACCTGACTGCACCTGCTTCCCAGGTCTTTGACAGTCAGTGGCCGGTGTGAGGATTTCACTCACAAATCAGTGTGAAGTAATACCCCTTCCCTTAAATCTGCTGTCACTCAATAATAGGTCTTCATCAGTGAATGTTGAGGAGAAAGAGTTTAGCACTGCAGTGCATTGCTTTTCAAAGCTTGTCAACCTTTGGTCCAGACAGAAGTGCAAGGAACTTAAGGAAATCCTCTTTACCTCTCTTAAGTAGAATCTGAGGGATGGAGGGGCCTAGGCTTAACTTCCTCTGCTGTGGATTTTAAGGGCTCTTTGGGGATACAGAGTCTCATTTCAGTTCCTCTCTTAGTAGAGGAGTGACTGCTCTGTGCATGTGAGAATCAACCTGCATGTATGCTTTAAGTCCATGCCTTGAAGACTCGAATGTGACCTTACACACCAAGAGAGAATCACTCTTATCACTAAGCAAAGTAAAGGACCTTCTGAAGTGTCACAGGAGTCACAAAAGAAGGAGTTTGGAGTTCAGCTTCCTTGGGGCCCAAGAGACAATTTATGCAGAACTGCCTCCACCTCCCTTTCAACCTGTTGCTCCATTAATCCCCTCCCCCTGACCTGAGACTCCCTCCAGAGAATGTGACTGAAGGACTTTTCCTAAGTCCTGGGAAAAGGACAAAACGCCGTCTGTTGCTCCTTTGCTGGGTAAACTCATGCAGTGTGCAGATGCTGGCAGTCTCTACAGCCTTTCGGCTAACTGTCGTGGGCCTGAAAGGGCCTCTCCTTTGTGCCTGTGCATTGAGGCAGGGGCTGTATCTGTGCATGTGATCACAAGCCAAGACCCTTGGTTCTAAGGGGGTGTGGGGGGGAGGGGGAGGGAGGGGCTTGGACCACCTATCAGGGCAGCTGCTGATGGGGATGGAGGAAAGAAGGAGCAACTAACTGCCAGGGGAGTGGAGAAGCAAGAGCTGTGGCCAGGGACAGGGCCTCGTTCTACGCTGTCCTCCTTTAGCTATGTCTTTTGCACAGAGCATGGCTTCCTCACCCCTTCAGCTCAAATGCTGCCTTCTTTGTTTCCCTCTGCATACCTTCTTTCTTTCCTAAGCCTGGTTACTGCTCTGGTAATGCTACATGTGCCCAATGCTCCACAGATACTGCTGCAGTTTATTGATTCTAAGATACATATTTTTTTTCACATATTAACATCTCTGAAATTGGATTGTGTCTTACAGTCACTGGCATCTTATAATCACTGTTGGCCAGATGGCAGTCATGATGTAGTTATAATTGTCTGGCATGCACAAACGTGGTCATAGCTGTTCATATCGTTGTCAGTTCTTTAAAGTCTAAATGAGCTACTTCAAGTATATATTAAAAACTCTAGGTGATCAGGAAGTATTGGATCATGGTTTAAATGGTAGAAATTTTTTCTTAATGGTACATCAAATAATGGCTCATCTTGCTATAATCTGTGGCATTTTATGAAATACAGTATTTGACTCATGGAGCTTTTGTCAGATTTTTGCCATGATCTTTTCACTTACATTTTCCTTTCTCTCTTCTGTTCTAACCAGCAAATTCCGGACCCCATCTGAGCTTCACAACGATAACTTCTCCCTATCCACCATTGCCGAGGGCTCTCACCCAAATGTAAGGAAACTTTGCGACACTCCCCGTACCTCCTCCCCCCATGCCCGTGCCTTGGCTCACTATGATAACGTTGTCTGTCAGGTAACTTGTCTTCTTTACCTCTCCCCTTATGCATGCTTCAGCCCCTGCTCATGTCTTCTGTCTATTTCAGAGTGTGGAGTCACTCCTTAGAGCTCTGGAGATAAGCTTAGGGCAACCAGTTGGAGTGGTGAAAGTGGGAATAAGAGCGTGATGGTGTATCACTTCCTTGACAAGCAGAGTTATAGGTAGTAAAGAAGATCTTTTTCTAGGATGACTCATGCTTTTTAGCTTCATCTAGGCTTTAGAAGCCTGATTTTTGTCTTTCTAGTTTCTATATCAAAGAGAAAATGCTCTGCTTTCATTGCTAGGGAATTTCCTGATGGTCATTGAGGCAAATGGTGGTTGCTCTTTGGGATGAGTGGAAAAACCTCTGGAATGGCTGGAAAAAAGTGTCCTTGACACTGTGAGGACTCTAAAAACTGGCAGGCTTATACAAACTGGTTAGCGCTGAGCTGAGCACAGAACACTGGTGGAACCATAAGTCTAGGGGTAAATTCTGTTCTTAGGAGGATGAGCTCATAAATATCAGTCAAACCCCAATAAAAGGTTTCAATAGACCATTTTCTAAAGACCCTGCTTAGTGTGTTGTCTAGACCAGACTAACCAGTAAAATACTGTCAAAGAGAATTTCAGAAATAAAGCAGAAAAACTGTTCCAGCCCAAAATCATGTCACATCTAAATCCAAGAATTCTGCACATGATACAGGCTCCTCAAAGTAAATGCATCATTACACAGATAAGGGAAATAAGCTAAGATTCTTCAGATGGAAACAATGGAGTTTAAGAGGAAATTTTGAAGAAGTTCTTTGAAATAATGGACCATCGAATATCAGAACTCTTAGGGGCTTTAACAATCTAGACCGGTGCTGTCCAGTGGAACTTTCTACATCTGCACCGTCCACTACGGCAGCCACCAGCTGCCTGCGGCTGTAGAGCTCTCGAAATATGGCTCCTGCTACCACCTTGGGTAGCACAGATCTAGACCTCTGTCTTCTTGTTATAGATGGGGAAAGGGGGGCCCCAGAAGGGGAAAGAGAATAATAGTGATTGAGACCTTGTTCACCAAACCCCAGAAAAGAAAAACTTGGCTTGGCGGAAGAGTAAAGGGTCAATTTAAATGAGAAATGAAAGAGGTAAATCTAGAATAATTTTTAAAAGTCTTTGATATAAAGAATAGAGAAAGAACAGATATTATTTTACTTGGTATACAAGATATTAATAAGTTCAAGATGGATATAATAACCAAGGAAGCAAGCTGTGCTATAAACTTAAAGATTGATGACCATGTTAATCAACCCACAAGGATATAGGCCCATTGAGGTCAGGACAGTCTTGCTCATCTTGGGACACTCAATCCCTACCTTACTTACCCGGCCCCTTGCAGTAATATGCATTTAGTCATCATTTATGGGATGCTAATGAATGAGAATGATGGCCTGCCACAGAGTCTCTTGGTTCCACTATCTGATCTTCCATCTTGTACATGTGGGGCAGCAGGTCTGACCAGTACGGTGTTTCCTAAATTCATTGTCTGCAGTTAATTCCTGTCTGTGTGGTGGAATGTAAGGTTCCTTAGGAAAGTTTCTGACCCATGCATTTATGGTACCCCAAGTATGAACACCTTTTTTCTTCACAAAGAGGGAGAGGAAGGAAATTGCTCCTCTTGGAGGCCTTGGTTGCATGAGTCAGTATAAAGGTTTCCAGTTCTTCTTGACTGACCCAGCTTTGTGGAAAGCAAGGCATTTGTACATGAAAGTTACCACTGACCTTGAGTTCAGAATATTAGCAAGCCTTAAAAACAAGACCAGAGCAGGGGGTAGTCAGCCATGGTGGACTCTGCCCGAGAAGGGCCATAGAGTTGTCTGGGCAGCACTCAAAGCATCCCTCAGAGAAGCGGCAAGATGAGGCTCTGGTCATCTCTGGCTTCCCTTGGATCTTGAGGGTCATTTCCACCTGGCATCCTTTCCTCAGCTTGTGCCCCAGGGGACATCTTGTCCTCTCTGCCAAAGTTCTGAGTGTGTGAGGGGAGGAGTCTCCTGTACAGTAGGCAGGGTACTGGCAGACTTTCTACCTTCATTTCTCATTCTCTCCACCTAGCCCAAAGGTCAGAATTGGTCATATTCAAGATCTTGTGGGCATTAACTGTTAAGATAGTTGCCACTTTATTGTGAAGTAAAGCCCTATTCATTGCATCAGTCACCACACTGATTGCTTACAAGTGATCCTGGCAGCAGGGTGAGGGTGAGAAAACCTCCAGGTGAGCAGGGAGGTGAAATGGGGGGCAACCAAGTCAGGCCTGCTCATTTAATCTCTTCCAGCCCTCTCCTTCACCCCTCAGACTCCCTTGTTCGTATTGATGTTTCCTAAAATTTTGGAGAGTTCTATTTATCTTAATAGGGTGATTATTTCTTTTACAGAAGTAAAGTAGATTGAGTGGGTCATTTTCCTACCCGGTACCAGTAATCTCTGTGAGCCACAATCTGAAAAGGTTTCAAACAAAAATTTCTGCTTTGGGTCTGTGGTGGGGGAAAGGTCAGTTGCTGGTGTCTGTGTCAAGGGCACTTCCCTTTCCTCTCTGCTGCTAGCATCATCTGTGCTGTTCCCCCCCCCGGGCCCGCCTGGACTGATGTGGGGCCCTGCAGCTGGTGAGCCAGTGGCTGAGTGTGTGTGTGAGTCTTTTGTGTAGCTGAGCAGCCAGCCTCAGAAGGGAACATCAGGAGGAAAGGAAAAAGCCTGCAGCTCCTGAGCCCCTGCTGTGGAGGTTTGCAAGTTTTCTGGGAGGAATGGCAAGTGTGTCAGAAGCTGGCCACTTTCCAGGTGCACAGCATGAATAAAGTCACCTGAAATCCATGGGCAAACTGCACAGACGCTGAGCGCTGCCCTGTTAGTGCTCACAGCTGTGCTATCAACGGGATGTTGTGGATATAACTTGGTCCTCCTAAGATTTGACAGACTTTCCAGGACTTCACTCTATTATTAGGACTTCTCCATGGTGTCCCTTAGTGCTTTTTTTCCTCCCTATTTAAATCTTTCTTACTTCCCAGACTCTGCTTCTTTCATCTGTTTGGTAAAGCACTGACTGCCTACCTCCTTCTGATAGAGGTTTGTGTCTGGACAAGGAGGAGTCCAGGCCTGAACCCACTACCCCTCGGCTGAAGGATGCCCATATGGCTGGGGTGGAGTGCTGGGAGTAGGGAGTGCACAGTAGTTCCCAGGACTTAGGCCAGATGGAGGTCCAGTTTAGTTTGGGCCCTCATCTTCTTGGCACCACAGCTTTGATGCCTGGTCTGTAAGGACTAACTAAATCACTTTTCTTCACATCATGAAGTTCATTTCCTCTTGTTCTTGTCTCATTGGAAATGGGGAACATGTGCTCCCCTGTTGTTTGTAAATCACTCCTGTGGTCTTTGAAACTCTATTAAATTGCTCTATTCAAGCTGGTCTTCTGGAAAAGTGCTAAGTAAGGCTGGGAGCCAGGGGCAGGTGACAGTGGTTTCTATATGCACAGAGCTTTTGAACATGCGGAGTGTCCTGTATAAGCCTGGAGCCTTTACCTATTTTCTTTCCAACCAATCACTGCCCTGACTTAGTGCTGTTATGGGTCAAACTCAGTAGCAGGCATCGTGGATAAGAGCTCTCCACAGTTTTATGGAGAATGCCCTGGTGCTTATGCATGATGCTTACCTTGAATTTTGAAGTGGTCAAAAACGGAAGAAAGGTCTGAGCTAGCTGGTCAGATAGGGACATTCTCTACCCTTCTTGTCACCCATGAACCTGCCTAGGTGGTTACACAACCCCTTGTTCAGTTGAGTTCCAAGCACTTACAGTAGCTATTTAGGGCACCTGAAAATAATTGAGGCCCACTGAACTGCATTGGGTCTAATCCCCTCAGGTGGTCCTAAAGGAAAAGAGTAGTGGGAAGGCAGGAATTGCTGTAAGAGTTCTCTGAATGCCCAGAAGGCAGAATTGGAGGGCTGTGTGCTGGTATGGGTTTCCTGAAAACCTTTGACAGGCAAATTCGGTTCAGGTTCAGGAGCTTGTCATAGGGCTGCAGGATATGGATAGGCAGAAGGGCATGGGTACACATCAGAAATGTGTCATGAACCAGCAGCACAAATATCATCTGATGCCAAGTATGGCAAGCCACTCAGACAGCCAGACTGATCTGGGCTTGGGTTGAGGAAACACCTTGTAAATTAGCATCTTTTGCTAGGTAAACTTCTTCTGATGGTGAGAGGCTCACACATCTCTGGCCTCTAGTCAAAGGATGTATATTTGCCATGGGGAGAGGGGCCCTAGCTTTGCCAGGAGCAGCTTGGCGCCTGACCATAGGCCTATTCGCAGCCCACTGTGTGCACTGACAAGACATGTTCCTTTTCGTGAGAGCAGAAAACAACAGGATGGAGGGCCATGGGAAGAGGGGCCGGGCAGGCCAAGCAGAGCTCATCAACAGGTGAGACTTTAAAGGGACCAGGCCAAGTATTAAAAGGGACTGTTTTCCCCAGTCTCTGTCAAAGAGAAAACCTTGGATGGCCTACATTAAGGGTATTTGTAATCCAATTACCTGTCAAGTTTTCATCTATATCTGGCCAGTGTTTTTGAGGATGACTTTCCTAAAAAGTAGCTGCTAATGAGTCGCTTTGGTTCATTCAAGTCTTGGAGCTTTTTTCCTTCTTCAGTTATGCTTCTTTCAGCCAGATAGAAAAGCCTGAGATTGTTTGATCCCTCTACCCATTGTCTCCTTCTTGCCCCTCCTTCACCGTTTTTCCTCTTCCAGGATGATCCTAGTGCTCCCCACAAAATCCAGGAAGCTCTCAAGTCCTGCCTGAAAGAAGAGGAGCCATTTAACATCCAGAACTCCATGTCGCCCAAACTTGAGGGTGGCAAAGGTGACCAGGCTGACTTGGAGGTGAACTGTCTTCAGAATAACTTAACCTAAAGCAGAGCAAGAAGAGAGGAAGTGGGGGGTGGGGGTGGGGGAAGAACATTGTCTCCTCTTGTACAGAGTCTATTTCTTGTAACCATTTGTTAAACTCTTTTCTTTTTCTGATCTCATGGCATGCTTTGATGTATTTTGTACAGGAGGGAAAAAAACACAAAATAAGCAAAGAACCTGAACAGAATCGCATACGTTGGATTGTTTTGTCTGTGCTGTCTGTACATTGCTTCTGCTGCTGTGATTTCTAAACCTATGCTGTTATTCAACTGACTTTTTTTTTGTACTTTGACACACCTTTTTTTGAAATACCAGTAAAACAAAGTTCTTGAAATAAAACTTTTTAAAAAGCCAGTTTCCTAAAGTCATCATGTCTACTCCCTACCCATTCTTGTCAGTTTGAGTTGAATTCTTACCTTCATTGACGATTTGTATTTATACATGTTTGAAATCCCAGAAATGGTCTATGTACTAGTCAACTTGGGTTGCCGTAACAAAATACCACAGACTGGGGGGCTTAAACAATAGAAATTTATTTTCCAACAGTTCTGGAGGCTGAAATTCCAAGATCAAGGTGTCAACAGAGTTGGTTTCTGACGAGGCCTCTCTTTCTGACTTGCAAACAGCCACCTTCTCACTGTGTCCTCACGTGGCCTTTTCTCTGTGAGGATGTGGAGAGAGAGATCTCTGATGTCTCTTCCTCTTCTTAAGGTCACTAGTCCTTATCTCCCAATACAGTCACATTAGGGTTTAGACCTTCAACATATGACTGTTGTGGGGGACACCATTCAGTCCATAACAGTGTGTAGCACCTGTGTTTAAGAATTTTCTGGGCCAGCCTGGTGGCACAGCAGTTAAGTGTGCACGTTCCGCTTCGGCAACCCGGGGTTTGCCAGTTCGGATCCTGGGTGTGGACATGGCACTGCTTGGCACGCCATGCTGTGGCAGGCATCCCACATATAAAGTAGAGAAAGATGGGCACAGATGTTAGCTCAGGGCTGGTCTTTCTCAGCAAAAAGAGGAGGATTGGCAGCAGTTAGCTCAGGGCTAATCCTCCTCAAAAAAAAGAATTTTCTGTCCAGGGCCAGCTTGGTGGCGTAGTGGTTGAGTTCGTGCACTCTGCTTTGGCAGCCCGGGGTTCACAGATTCAGATCCCAGGCACAGATCTACACACTGCTCATCAAGCCACCACTGTGGCAGGCGTCCCACATATAAAATAGAGGAAGATTGGCATAGATGTTAGCTTAGCGACAGTCTTCCTCAAGCAAAAAGAGGAAGGTTGGCAACAAATGTTAGCTCAGGGCCAATCTTCCTCACCAAAAAATAAAAGAGTATTCTTTCCTTCTTTGATAAATATTTATTCAGCACTTACTCAGCCAGGCACTATGCTAGATGCCAGGACCTATAGATGAATAAGATAGACCGTAACCTCAAGAAGTTAACATTGTACTTGAGAAACAGACTTATAAACAAATAATTATAATACAGAATGTCAATATTATAATAGAGGTATGTACAAAGCTTTGAGTGTTGGAGTTAAGAATTCAGAAGTCTTCAGGGAAAGGAGGATTAAACTGGGCTTTGAAAGATGCGTTTTTCAGGATGATGCAAAAAAGTGGACATTCAGGCAGAGGGAGAACACTTGTAGGAAAGTTGTGCTGTATGACTAGTGATTGTGAGAGGGAGGGGTCCTAAGTGATGAGGCTGGAAAGGGCAATTTAGGACAGATTGTAAGGGCCTTGAATGCTACTAAACACAGGGCTGAGGCGGAGTCAGATTTTTTTCTAAAAGATACCTCTGGAGACAATGGTGAAGGTAGACAGAATGAGGACTGGAGCAATCCAGGCAATGAATAAGGATGGATTAGAGAGAGTAAAGAGTTCAAATAGGCAGAATTGCTATTGGGGGAGTTTTCTATAACTTTGCCTATGTTCCATCTGTGATAATTCCAAAAACTGGGATCCCTATGAGTGTATTTTTGTTGCCTAATTTCTGCTGGTTCTCCCTGATTTGTCATCTCATGTGCCTCATTATTTATTTTGTACTGGACATTGTATTTGATAAACTGTTTATTGCCATATTTTGAGGCCTGGGATGATTTCTTTCTTTAAGGAGGGTTAAGGTTTGCTTCCGTCAGGTGCCTAGGGGCACTAGAATTCTGGGACCGCATTAATCCAGATTGGAGGTTGGAGATTTTCCCAGCCACTGAAGCCAGGCTGCAGATCTATCAGACTATGCAAGGGCTAGTTGGCTTTGGTTAATCTTTACCCCTAGGGCACAATCCTCTGAGGTCACAGCCTGCAACAGGAAGGGGTTTATCAGTTTCTACTTTTGGTGGGCTCTGTATTCCAACCCCCATCCCCGAGCCCTGCAAGACTTTCAGAAACACAACTCATTCTCTCAGTCACCTCTTGTAAATGGGCAAGTGCCTCCAGGGAAGAGGTGGCCCTGAATGCTGGCCTCACCTGTCTTGATTCCTGTCTTCTCTGGGGTGTCAGCCTAGTAATTCTTTAGTATCTTGTTAGCTCTTTGATGCTTTTCAGATGTTTGTACAGCTTTTTGGTTGTCCTTAGTGGAAGGATTGGTCTAATTTACCTAGTCTGCCATTTACTGACAACAGAAGTCATCTATTTTTGTCTTGGGACTCTTGCCCAGATGGCATTCAACTGGTGCTATGAGCTCAGTCTGCTCTTTGCTTTTGGATAGGGCTGCATAGTGAGATGTTGGTTTATGGCCTGTGTGAGTTACAGTTTCCTTACCTGACCTTTATCCTCTTTGTGGGGTTTGGCATAGTTCTGCTTAGACTTCCTATACTTTCTGAATTAGGGGACAGACCCGTCTTTCATGGATAGGCACTTCTGGCTCCTTTTCAAGGAGGCTCATTCAAGAGGGATTGTATGTGAAAGCACTTTTGTAAGTCCTAAATCCCATCCAGACATAAGGATTTGTTAGTATTGTGTTTTGTTTTTGCCACAAGAGAATTATGAAATGCAGATCAAAGTCCTTGGCTCTACCCCATCTTCCCAGCACATGCAGGAGGGATAGGAAAACCCAGAAGGGAAGGCGAACAGGAGACAGTGCAGGCCTAATGAACAGAGTTACCAGATGCTACCAACAGTCTTTGACCCTAAGAGGGGGCTGATGTGATGGAATAGGATATATTGGTGTCCATCTGTGCCAGCCCTCTTTCCTGTCACTGTTTGTGATTCTCTGTGATGTGCTCCAAGGGCCGGCCAGCATCCTCTCTGGGGAACTCGAGCTCTGCTGTCAGCTCCCTCACCCACCTCCACAGTGATTGCCTAGTGTTCCAGACATCCCTCTTCAGCACCCTGGTGCTTTCAGATGAGTGTGACCTGATCCCTTCTCTCTGCTGTTTCCAGCCTGTCTTCTGTCATTCTCTCTAAAAGACATACTGAAAATGTGGGAAACTTAGGCATCATGGAAGAAAGATCATTTGTCTGGGGAACCTTTCGTCACTGATGAGTCTTTTCACTTAGGAGAAGTATACATACAATGTTGAACCATCTGTCTATGCAAGACATATCCTTTACACATATGCCGTACCTGTATTAGTTTCCTGGGGCTCCCATAACAAATTACCACAAACTGAATGGCTTAAAACAAGAGGAATTTACTCTCTCATAGTTCTGGAGGCTAGAAGGCTGAAATCAAGGTATCAGCAGGGGCATGCTCCCTCTGATGGCTGCAGGGAAGAATCCTTCCTTGCTTCTTCCTAACTTCCGGTGGTTGCCAGTAATCCTTGGTATTCTTTGGCTTGTAGTTGCATCGCTCCAGTTTCTGCCTCTGTCTTCACACGACCATCTTCCCTCTGTCTGTGTCTGTGTCTCTGTGTCTTCACAAGGCCTTATTATAAGATCACTAGTCATTGGATTTAAAGCCCATCCTAATCCAATAAGACCTCATCTTACCTTGAGTACTACTCCAAAGACCCTATTTCCAAATTAGGTCATACTCGCAGGTACTACGAGTTAGGACTTCAGTATATCTTTTTGGGGGGACACAGTTTAACACACAATCATGCCTTACTATTTGAAACACACTCTCTTATCTGTGTTCTCATCACATCCTCACCAGAGCCTAGAGACGGGTCTTAGGGCTGGAAAGCATCAGTGACAATATTAGAACCCAGACCTTGGACTTCTATTTCAGTCTCCTTTCCTCTGTGTGAGATCATGTCATAGACACTGTATTTACAGTTTGTGTCCTTTCTCATATAATTTACAGAAATGAAAAGGTTAGCATGTGCTCTGAAAAGCAGCAGACCCAGAGCTCAAAGACCTCTCCAATTAGGAGTCCAGTGACCTCTCTGAACCCAAGTTTCTTCATCTGTAAAATCCTTTCCTTTTCATAGAACTATCAGCACGTCAGGTATATAGCAATGAAGAAAATGGTCCAAAAGCCTTGCCTGGTGGAACTTACTTCCCAGTGTCATGAAATGCACACAAGGTGAGGTCTGGGAAAGTATTCCGAGAAGTGGGAGTGCCTGTACAAACCCACCCTGCAGGCCTGGGGGAAAGGGTGAGTGCCAGCAGGGGGATAAGGGCAGCTTTATTGGTCAAGCGAGCAATGAGGTGTGAGCACTGCGATTGCTGAGAACTATAGCAGAGGCTCTTCTCTCAGCCCAGGAGCTCATCCCAGGCAGATGAGAGGCTTGAGGGAAGAGTGAGGGACTCCACTAAAGCGAACTTGAAGTAGTATTTTCTCTTGGGTGCATAACAATGACATTACACTAAGTACATGGGAGCAAAGACAGGCAAAGTTACACTAAGGAAGCAGATGGCCAGCCAGACTAAGCAGTACTCTGGCCACACATCTATCAAAGCCAGAGGAAGGATGTGTCAGTCAGAAGGGTTAGCTTCCTGCTGCACATGTGCCTGCAATTCTGAGGCTTATACCCGGGAGCAGAATTGTTAGGATGGAATTTAGTCTATTTTTACCTTTACAAGATGATGTGAAAAGTGGTTGTATCAAAATAACTTGCAACAACAGTGGATGAGAGTTGCTTTTGTTCCACATCCTTGCCATCACTTGATATTCTCACACATTTTCCATTTTAGCTGTTTTTGTAGGCATATAGTGGTACGTAATTGTGATTTTAATTTGCACTCCCTAATTACTAATGAGATTGCACACCTTTCATATGTTTATTAGTCATGTAGATTTCTGCTTTTGTGAAGCACCTACTTAACTCTTTAGCCCATTTTTTTATTAGATTATCTTTTTCTTATTGATTCACAGGCATTCTTTATATATCCCATTTCTTGGTCATATGTGTTGCAAATATCTTTCCTCATTTTGTGGCTTGCAATTTCATACTCTTAATGTTAATTAAG